TCGGTAGATAAAAAAAGCACAAGACCAGAAAGACATTAAGCAGTGAATGAACAATTCCTTTTCATGGGACTGAAAGATGGGTGTCTGTCTTGTGACCGATTCTAGGGAGCAACAAACAATCACTGCTCTTTCCATATCCTGCCAGTGACTCTTAGCTTCAGTTCTTTCCAATCCCCACCAAAGAAGAAGAATGTCATGTTGCGTTGAATGATGAGACCAGCAAAACTGTCACGAACCTTACGGTGACTGTCCCGTATGCTTCTTGGCAGATTATCTTTCTCCCGTTCCCTCCCACCTCCAGACTATAGCTGTAGTTTTTTGCCTCATTGTCATCACCCATGAACCACAAGAATACCACATAAACTAACGCCATGCCTAACTGAAATGCTTCAAAATGCAAGCAGAAGTATTGTCCAAAACAAAAGGATGTATCTATCAATTTGAAGAAAACAGAGCAGAGCGGAGCTGGGTGCGGGCCCCACACGTTGGTGGAAAAACGATGCAGAAAACGGGCGATTAGACAAATGTATCTTCACACAGACAATACATATGTACTTCCACAGGCATAAAATAAACCTTACACAGACAATACATAGAAAGTAATGACATATCCCCAAACAAATGCATATTGTTCAAAATCTAAACAATAGATGGGTTCCAAAACTATATAAACAAAAATATCTTATGAGCCCTCCAAATAAACATCATCAAATAGCCTTAAATTGTTAAAAATCCAAAGATAGAGGATACATACCTTTCGGCCATGGAAGAAAGTTGGCTTCACACTGAGAGGAGGGTTGCGTTCAATAGCCTTGTTCAAAGGGAAGGGTGTGGCGGTTTTCGTCAACAACCTTTGACGGAGAAGAAGCTTCCGGCGACGGGGAGGAGGCCGATGATTTTCTTCAACCGCCAGCGACGGGGAGGGGAAGGGGGTGCATGAAAAATTTGGGAGCGGGGGTTTTCTTCGATGGCCAGCGACGATTCAAAGGAAGGGAGAAGGGGGATGTGAGAATTTGGGATTGGTTTTTTTTTTTGAACTACCGCAAGTGAGAGGGAGGTGAGGGAAAATGGGTAATTTTTTGGGGAGTATTTATAGTGTGTATGTGTGTGTATGGAAAGTGTGTAACAATAGCATTTTTGGTGGATTCTATAACTCCGGCACACTGTCCTCATGCTTGGCCGACGACTTTGCAAACTCAGAGGAAACAAGGAAGAAGAAAAGAAAGGAAAACAAGAAAAACAAAAGTAAGAAGGGCGGAGAAGTAGTTGTGGAAGAAGAATTGAACAAACCAGTAGGATAAAGAAAAAGAAAAAGAAAACGAACAAAAAATATGAAAAACTAAAACGTTATTAATAGTTGGTGGGCTTAACTAGGTATTGTTTTAGGATGCTCTCTTTTGCATTGTTTTTAGCTTCAAACCAGACTAGATCAGACCAGAGTTAAACAGATCAAATCATACCAGATTTAAACACTACTAGAAAAATGCCTTAAAGTGATACCAAATTAATGTCACTGAAAGTTTCTGTGACACTAAAATATTGTCGCTGAAAGTGGGGGCTAGTGACACTATAAGTGACACTTTTTAAGTGTCACTACAAGTGTCACAGAAATGTGACACTACGATATCACAATATAGTGACACATTGGCGACATAGCTATTCAGCGACAATTTAACATCACATAATCTAGTGAGACTGCAGTATCAAAATATTCTGTTTTTCATTCAAAAAACATGATACTTTTGTGACACTTTGATCACTTTGTTTTGCATTGCTTCCAGACTCCAATTCTAGACCAGTTCATACCATACTAGACTTAGGGAGTGTTTGCAAATGCTTTTGCTTTAAACAAAGTCACTTTTTGAAGTGATTTTGGAAAAAGTGATTAACAATAAACGTTGATAGTGTTTGAGAAAAACTGATTGAAAAGTAAAAGTTGGTATTGTTTGCTAAAACATGTGTTTTTTGTGTAATAGAAAAAGTAAAAAGCAGTTTTTAGCCAATAGCCAAGAAACGCTTTCTTTAAGCTTTTGAAAACATACCCTTAAACAGATCAGACCAGATCAGACCAGCAAATTTCAATTAAAATAAAGCATTCTTAGTTCAAGGACTTAATTAACTTTTTCTATATACTATGAGGGCTTGTTTACAATTTTCACTATTTTTTTACGTTTTTTTTTTTTATATATTTTATATTTTATTAATACTACGTACTCCTTCCGTCCCATTAGAAGGTTCCCACTTTCTAAAGGTTCTCATGTTCATATAAAGGTTTTCATGTCCATTTTAGGAAACAATTAATAATCTTAAGTGACAAATTAATCATTAAATATTAAAAATAATACATTTATAACATCACAATTATCAATATTAACTACATTATAATATATACGGAATACCTATTAAAATTATTTCTAAAGATATGCTCGAAGTACATTATTTAATTATTACCTAAATAATCGTGTCATTTTGCTATGAGAAATTTCGAACGAGAGAAAGTATTATTTAAGCAACAACATATGCGATCTGTGAAAAGTTGGGGTATAGTAGCATCCGATCTCGAGCAATAATATTAGTACATACATACGTGAGAGTTGAGACGGTGAGATATTATATTATTATAACTATTTTTGTTTAAGGAAAAGGGAGCATTGATTAGGCGTTTCTATTATGATCTACGTACCTATATATTATCGGCCGGTTGCATCCATCCATACACAAATGCACATTTACACATGTCATTCAGGAATTGGGAAGAGGGGTCGGTATCTTATTTTACCTTGGAAAGAGGAATTTTAATTTGAGTTTTAAAATATGGAATAACCTCATCTTTCACAAAAGAAAAATAAATTAATTTAACATAAATATTGATGTTAATTAATTTCTTTTTTTGGATGTAATGTTAATTAATTTGTATGCACACAATAATGGAAACCAACTCAATTATTGATTTCCCGTCCTCTGTGCGCTGTTTGCCTCTGAAGAATTACAGTATGTATGTACTCTCTCAATCATAGCTATCCAACCACACATGCATGTAGCGTGGTCGTTCGCTTGCTTCGTAATAATGAGGAATGGGCATAGCTCAATTGGTAGCAAAGGAGTGTCACAATGATTAGGTCCCGAAACAAGTTCTCATTTCCTTAAATGGCAAGTTAATCTACATCAAAACAATGTCAAATAGTGCAAAACAGTGTCAAACAGTGTCGAAACAGTGCAAAACAGTGCGAAACAATGTCAAAATAGTGTCAAACCAGGAAAATTTACCTCATGGTAAATTTATTTCCTTAATATGTGTGTAGGTCAAACTGTGAAGTTTATTGTGGGACGGAGGGAGTATCTATATAAATTTATACGAGTATTATTCTAATCATATACTATCGGTACTTGGTAGTTGGTATATAGGATTCTCCTTCTCCTTCATTTAGTCATTTTAAGACTAACTTTTTCAATCAAATTTTGAGCAAGGATGTTTTTAATTGGACTGTAATTTGTTGGTCTGGTCTGGTCTGATCTGATCTGGTCTGGTCTGGTATGGTTTCTTTGTATTTTTATAACTATCCAAGTCTGATCTGGTCTGAACTGATTGAATCTCTTTTCGATCCAAGTAAAGACATTCTAAAAAGATACCTAGTGATATTTCAAACACGGAAGGAGTAAGCTAACATAGTAACTGCAATAGAGTTTGTTTTTTGCAAAAACCGCAATGGAGTTGTTCTGTCAAAAGAATAATTGAAACTCAGGTTTTGAGAATTGCAGTCCTATTTTAATACTCCCTCCCTCCCGCTAACAATGGGACAAGAAGGAGTGACACGCAAATTCATAAAAAGTGATTCATGTGGTTGATATTGAATTGATAAAGTAAGAATAAAATAAGAATGATTTAGAGTCACACAAACTTTAACAAATTTGGTATGAGACAATCTTAGTGGGATGGACCGATAAGGTAAAATGGGACAATCATAGCGAGACGGAGGTAGTACTACGTATGAAGTAATTTTAATTTATAATGTTTTAATCTTATTTAACCACTTTATTTTTTGAAAAACAAAACGTTTAAAATCACATTTTAGGTACTATTGATTACTCTATTTTTAAAACTTTGTCAAAATTATCCGACATAAACATAATAAAAAATGTCCACGTGATTGAGTTTTACACAGATGAGAGAGGTAACATGAACCACAAAATAATTGATTATTGAGAAAATGATAGTTTTGAAACAACAAAACACGAAAAATAAGAAGATTTTAATTACGGGATGAAGATGGTATTTTATTACGGAGTATAAGAGTATTATACCTGTTCCAAAAGGTTGAATCCTTTGTAAATATTCCAAGTTTCTCATCGCTCAATCCTTTGAGTAGTTGTGTTTAATTTTCAGAAAATATCATCACAAAATATCATCCAAAACAGCCGGTTCCCGTCAGAGGAGCTGGACATAAAAAATTTGTCTATATATAACGTGGCTTAATTAGGCTGTTAGCTAGAAAAGGGAGAAAAAAATGGAGAGTGCTAAATATCCCCTGAACGCTGTGAAGGTTTTGAGGGCTCGCATGATTTTCAACCGTATATTTGCTCTCCTTTACGCCTCTTCCATTGCTGCTCTTCTCTACCGCCATGTACGGAACCTCCTCTGCTCCACCGCCTCTCCTTCTTCTTTCCTCATCCACTTCACCATGCTCGTCGCCGACCTAATCCTAGCCTTCATGTGGTCAACGGCTCAGTCGTACCGCATGCGCCAGGTCACCCGGACGGAGTTCCTGGGGAATCTTGAAAAGGCGGTGAGAGAGGAGGACTTTCCGGCGATGGATATTTTCATATGCACGGCGGACCCCTACAAGGAGCCGCCCATGGACGTCGTTAACACGGCCCTGTCGGTCATGGCGTACGACTACCCGCCGGATAAGATATCTGTCTACGTGTCGGACGACGGCGGGTCGGAGCTGACGCTCTTTGCCTTCATGGAGGCGGCTAAGTTTGCGGCGCACTGGTTGCCGTTTTGTCGGGAGAATGGAGTGGTGGATCGGTGTCCGGGTGTGTTTTTCGAGTCGGCTTATAGTGGCCGCCGCCGCACGAGTCTTGATAATCCTCAAGATGATCTCAAGGTAAGTACAGCTACTAGCTCTGCCTCTTAGCTAGCTAACTGCCTAAGCTAGCTTAATTAGATGAAAAATTATAGGGCTACACACTTTTTTGTGTACACATTTTTTACACATGTCTGTACAGACATAAAAAAAAACCTTACACAGACATGTGTAAAAAGTGTGTACACAAAAAAGTGTGTACCCCAAGTCCAACTCTAATTAGATACTCCTTCCGTTTTCAATAACTTTGCCAAGTTTGATCGGCACGTGATATAATAAACTAAAAACCGTGTGATTGAAGTTTGTGCAAAGGAGGAGAGAGAATGATCTGGAACCACAAATTCTTTACTTTAAAGGGAAAGTCACAAAGTTAATGAGACATCCAAAAAAGGAAAGTTGACAAAGTTATAAGGGACGGAGGGAGTAGTAATTATTTAGAACAAAACTTTTTTGAATATGACACCCAAATGATTTTTTATAAGAAAATTGTCATATAAGTTCTCCTTAAGGAAAGTCAATTAGCTTAAAGTTGGTAGGTATGAAATAAATTTGATGCAGAATATGTTTAAAAAATTTATCAAAAAATCCATAAGAAGACCTTTAAACGGGCCCGGCCCGACGATTGTCCTGGTCAGCAGGTCTGACATGAAGATTCATCACACACATGTACTCCGCACGTAATATATAGGAAGTACTAGTATATAGAGTTAACTTTCGGTCAGGTATTAGGTTACCGGAGCACCATCCGGCCACCTCAATTCGAACCGTTTTCTATTGAATTTTTTGATGAACTTTTGGTGTTCTTCATGAAATGTATATTATGTCTGCAAAATTTCAGATTAAAATTCAATCGTTCGAGAAGTCAGTTAAATAAACTATTGAAAAATTTGTGCCTATATATACATATATATATAAACGCAGTTATTTCAAAAAAAAAATTAATTATGTTCCTGATTGAATTTTTAGCTGAAATTTGGTGTACACAATGTACACTTCTTGTAAAAGATACTCACAAAGTTTCAAAAATAAAATTCACCTGAAATTACCTCAAATTGATGTGTACGCACGATGGTCCAATCAGGTATTTACCTAACAAGAATATTTGTGTATATAATTGTATGTATTTTATAAAGAAAAATTATTGAGAAATAAAAAAATGGTTACCTGCCCTAATGAGAGAAAAGAAGTAGATGAAACGGGGAGTAATCCCCCAAAGCTATAGAAAAATGCAATATATGAGGGAAAAATCAACTTAAACAACCTTGAGCATTCAACTAGCTCAAAAATTTAAGTTTCTATTTCTAAGCGATGCGATCACTCCTTCTAACGTTTTTATGTTTAAACTTTGGAAGATTCTAGTTCCGAAAAGCATCAAGTAGTTGTTTCTGAATCTTTTGGCCGGTCGAGGCCCCCTAACAGTTTCACATTCAATATTGTTGCGACAATCCGAACTTGATTCAACTTGCATGTCAACGACTCCCTGAGTCTGCGGATGGTGAGTGTCTGAAGCAATAACTTGTAAAGGTTTTTCTTCAATAATATATGGGTCATGGAACATATTGTGTTTTCCATGCCATAAACGTGGTTGCCTTGGTCATAGAAGGTGAAGATCGAAGGATATACTTCAAATCTTCCTTAAATAATAGTGATGAGATAGAAGGTGATTCAAACGTCTTAAAACCACCAAGATCGAGCCCAAATATTTCACTAGACATCTCTCTAATATCTTCCGGCCTTAATATTCTGGAAGTATGAGTGTCCTAGTACGCTTTGAAGCTCATTTTCAAACCTTTGCAAGCCTTCATTTTCCATCATTAAATCCATAAAACGATTAAAAAGGCCAAATTGATTTTTTCAAAATCAATTTGGAGTTTACGAGAACCCTCATATCATGTAATTACCGAAGAAGTTCCTGACTAAATTTTGAAATGAATTAAGTGGCCAATTTGTCCCATCTTTATGTGCGAGTGTGACTTGGTGCCCTTCATTTAAATAATATGTAAGGATGATGTATCACAAAAGAAGCAAAATATTTTACTTTGATTCGAAGATAGTTAGGAGGATCCTTCGACTTGTTCCCCGTATGTGAGAGATCCCATGAATGAGCTCCCCCCTGAATTTTGGTGGCTTCAGCCCTCTTTAAAAAGCCAGAAGATTGTCCCAAACTCAGAATAATGTTATGTCTTCCATCATTCCATGCTTTGTTTCTGCAAATTAAAGCTCCTGGAATGATTGATTAGATGACAATGGTTGAGACCCGACTTAAATTAAAAGAGATATCTCCAAAAAAAATACTCTGTAGTAACTAGTACGGATATCCCCTCCTCCAGTGTAACACTTGAGATTTAATTTAAATAAATTAATAGTACTACTCATACCAACAAGATGCATCTCTTTTTAAGGGAACTCATCACGTAAGAACTCCAAAGTTAAGCGTGCTTGCACGGGAGTAGTCTTGGGATGGGTGACCCCCTGGGAAGTTTCTTAGGGCGCGCATGAGTGAGGACAAAGTGCGCGGAAAAAGCTAGTGGCGGTTTGTGAGGACAGTACTAGAGATCTGGAGTAACTACCTCGGGGCCTACGGGGCCGGGGTGTTACAGGTCGTATCAGAGCAACCCTACGACAGTGTGCTGATCCGTAGGATATCGGGCAGACACTTAGCGGGGGGGGGGGGGGGGGGGGGGAAGATTCTGGGATTGAATTGAGATTGGTTTATGGGTGCAACGAGGACGTTGCGTTCCTAAGTGGGGGTGATTGTAACACTTGAGATTTAATTTAAATGGATTAATAGTACTACTCATACCAACAAGATGCATCTCCTTTTAAGGGAGCTCATCACCTAAGAGCATCTCCAATGCAAAAACGTGAATGATGCATACGTGGCATAAGAAATAGCCAATTAAAAAACAACGAATAGAATATCCCTCTCCTTATTTGAACGGTCTTATATGTTTTTGGTAAGTTTTTCTCTACAATGTCAAACACAATGTCTAGATGTAGACATTGTGGTTGACATTGTTGAGAAAAACTTACCAAAAACACACAAAAACGTGGAAAGAAGGAGAGAGAAATGTCATAAATTTAATTTTTTGTATCTACCTCTCACATGCCACATGTGCACCGTGCACATTGTAGAATTGGAGATGCTCTAAGAACTCCAAAGTTAAGCGTGCTTGCACGGGAGTAGTCTTGGGATGGGTGACCCCCTTGGAAATTTCTTAGGGCGCGCACGAGTGAGGACAAAGTGCGCGGAAAAGGCTAGTGGCGGTTTGTGAGGAGAGTACTAGAGGTCTGAAGTAACTACCTCGGGGCCTACGGAACCGGGGTGTTACATCCAGTTTATTGCGTGAGGTCCTTGTCCTACCCTGAAACCCACCAAACCCGGATAGTGCCCTATTTTACTTGAAAGAGGAACTGTAGCCATCTCGTTCATTGCCTCGGAAAAATACGTAAAAGGAACTTGTGGTTGAGCCCGTTTTCAGATAGGGTCATGTGTTTCGTTCTTTATCAAAGTAGTTCATGTGTTTGAATTACGTTATCACAAGAGGGTCATGCCGTTAAAAACGTCTGAAAAAGACAGTTAAAAGTAACTACGATTTTCAAAAGTGCCTGAGAAATTAAAAATAAAAATACCGAAAGGTGCGTCTCGTCAAGATGACCTCCAACCCACCTTCGCCTTTGAATTTTTCAGATCTGTTTGAATTATTTTTTAAAAATGATTTCGTTAATCTCACTTTTCCGATGGACTTTCCGGTGACAAGGGTGGCTGAAAACAAAAAAGAAAGATGGTCTAGCAGTCGTCTTATTGAGGCGCACCTTTCTGTATTTTTCTTTTGATTTTTCAGACACTTTTGAAAATCGGAGTTACTTTTAACGGTCTTTTTCAGACGTTTTTAACGGCGTGATCCTCTTGTGATAATAGAATTCAAACACATTAACCACTTTGATAAAGAATGAAACACATGACCCTATCTGAAAATGGGCTCAACCAAAAGTACATTTTTCGTACTTTTCCCATGTATAAAAATAATTTAAAAAGACTAAGTGTGTAAATTTTGAATACCGAAAACATGTTTACATTTGTTTGCATGTGTGCATATACGTATAATTAGATTTATATATATATATATATATATATATATATATATATATATATATATATATATATATATATATATATATATATATATATATATATATATGCAAATGTTATTAACGGTTCCATGCATATATGTACATATTTTTACAAGAATCGGGAACTTAGTAACTAACAAGAAACAACCGGGGAACCCCTAAAAACAATAATTGAGTTCTAATGCCCCAATTCTAATCGAGGTTCCTTAAAACTCTTTATGCCGAACTAAGTGCTCTATTGAATGGAATGATTTATTTTGCTTGCCCTTTATAGGGGCGCCATGTAGAGTTAATAGTAATGATATTTGATGGAATAATGAATGTTTTTTGAATGGAACGAATGTTTGGTCACATTAAACAAGTTTCTCATATATCAAGGGGTACCAAAAGTTATTAAGCCATTTGAACACAAGAGTAAATAGAAACTATTTTGCCAATGAACGCAAAATTATTGTTGTGTTATTAGCACAAGAACTTATTGTGCAATTCATAAAGCACATGACATTATGTATACCATTAATTTGAACACTTACACGAGGTTAAGTTGTTATATCCCAATTGAAAGATAGTTGTTATCTAAACAGGTTGTACTCTCTCATTGACATTCAAACTTCTTAGAAATGATGCACATACTTGATGGCATGCACTTATTGTGAGCAGATGGTTGAAATCTAAAAGAGTTGTGTTGTGGCATGCTTCGTCGGTACAATGAGGGCTATGGGTACCCCTCATTGGTCGATGACAGAACTAAAGTCGTATGTGTTTCAAAATAAATTCAATACTTAACACTTATATGTAGTATAATGTAGTAGAGCTCATATCCACATGGAAAGGAATAATTTTCTTTAAATGAACTAGTAATAAAATAGGGGGTTCTGAGTTTGTGT